TCTCATCGTTAATCTATGTCATATTCCAGGTGCTGTGATCGACATCTATGTTGGAAGAGACACAGTCTGATCCAGTTCTAATATCGCTGTTTATAGAACGAGGCACACACACACGTCGCACTGCACTATAACATACTAAATGTGCCAAATAATAACAGTTTAATAATAATAAACAGTATTTATGTTAGTGTGCAAGATATAATGAAGCTCTGAGCTAAATGAAGCAATCTGGACATTATGTAATTCAAATTTAAAATGATGCTAAACATATTGTGTGTTACTAAAGTTGAAAATGAAGACATTGGGTTTAATTTTTTTAATTTATTTAACACCACAAACTGTATGTCACACAAACACTGATAATTAAACTGAACACACTATTAAAAACAAGTTAACTGTAAACTGCATTAATGAACTGGACTCTGCTCTGTTTTCATCCTGGATGTCCCACGTTGTCTATCTGGCTCGTTCAGGCCGTCACTCCTTTGATTAATGCAGCTTAAAACATTCAATGGATTGAATAAAAAAACTGAGGAGAATTTTAAATAAATAGTTCATCCAACATCTCTCTCTTCGACGTCCTCCTGCACTTCACCTGGGCTGAGCCTCATTCAGAACCAGTCCGCCTGGTGGAAGGACAGCTCCTTCTTCTTTCAGGAATAATAAAAACTCGTTTGTTGTGTGATCGAAGTAAACACAAGTAGTAAACATTATTAAGAACATTGATTTACCTGCTGTAAATCAGCTACTGATTATCACGGAGTAAAGTCAGACATCGTCGACTCGGTTCTGGTCCACTCAGCGACCGGTGTGAAGCTGTTAGATGAAGCGGTCCCGCTTGGCGTCATATCTGTCAACTCTTATCCACAATCCAGCCAAAATCCAGCTTTAACTTGATGTTAAGTTGTTGTTAGCTGAGCTTTTAGCCCAGAGGAAAGGAGCGTGCCGAGGCAGCACGCATGTGCATTAGGTGAAGGTATAAAATTCACAGCGCCAACTAATGACCCGGCATTGAAACTACAGCGGATTCAGGAGGGCGGGGGGGATTCCTCCGGATGCATGCAAACACAAAATCCGACCGTGTCAATGCAAATATTTTCCTCTAACTAACATACGAAAAAACCTATGTTTCCCCCCATCGTGTCCGTGTAAATAGGGCCTTAACCTGGTTAGATTTATCTACCTGGATTATTGAGCAGCATCAGGAGATAAGCCGTTCATGCTGCTCCTCATTTAAAAAGGTTTATTCTTGTAACATTTCAGAGAAAACATATATTTTTGAATTTGTTGTTAATCTGTTATGATTGTGGTTTCGGGTTTGAAGGAATTTTTTAATTTTCTCTCTAAAATAAACTACTGTGCTTTTTCCATAGCCCTTCTTCAGCACGACTCGGTTCGGTACGGTTCCAAAACTTCTTCCACTATTAATTTTTCATGGAACCGGCTCCTTTTTTAGTCCTTTTTCTCTGGGGTACCAAGCGAGCCATGCCGGCACCAAAACATGATGTCAGAACACTGTCGTCACTGATTGGTCGGGGCAGAGTCCCTGAATATCTTCAAAACACCCAATCCCCCATTTGCAATTACTCAAGCTTTGGGCAGCGGCTGGGCTTATTTTTAAGATTTGAAAAACAGTAATGACAAAACCATGGTCTAATGTTGAAGTCCAGGTGGTTTTTGTGTTTGATAAGTGACGACAAAATCAGAGCGAGCTAGTCACCGCGGAGGATCATACAAGCTGCCAAATCAAGCCCGGGCGCCGGCCTTGCATACTCGTAAAGATCAGACCTGGAGCTACGGCAGACGGGTGGACCCAGACAGGTCTGGGATGGCAGGGCAGAAACAGTTTTTAAAAACATTTTATGTATAAAAAATTTATTTATTTTTTAATCAGTGAAGATTAAAAATAAATAAACATTGCCGGCTTTATCATGAAATCATGTTTTCACTTTAACGACTATTAAATAATTTGTTAATTCAATTTTACTCAGCTGAAAAATTATAAGACAAAGTTATTGAATCGCTCAGGAATATTTCCCTTAAACATGTTTAAAGAAGAGATACAGTCTATATTTCAACTTTCTAACAAACAACAATTTTCATTCAGGTCATCTGGACAGTTTCTTTTTTTTTTTTCTGAAACGTTTCACCTTCTATCCAAAAGGCTTCATCAGTCAAGGAAACACACAACACAAAACTGATTCTTCCCCCCAAACAGCTTACTCCAAAGTGGAATAAACCAGTTACGTTGGTGCTAAGATGGTGTCTTTGGCATGCCCCCTCCTCTTGTGCTGGCCCTCTTCCTCATCGACAGTCATGTCAAACTGGTTCAAAACCAAAAAAAGGAATGACAATATGTTTTGCAAAAGGTTTTTAAAAGTATTCAAATGAACTTCTATGAAACTTTAAAGATTTATATTGTTTTAAGATGGCATCCATCCACTGTGATCTTATTTACATATATTTAATTTAGCTCATCAGTCATGTCAGAATTAAACTCAATTTCTCTTAACTGAATCTTTACATTGAATTTTAAACATGCTGTTGTGCGGCCCCTGATAAAGAAATCTGGTCTCGATCCCACTGTGTTGCGGAATTTCCAAAAGTTTCCACTATTGTCAAAAATCTGAGAGAAAATTGTTTGTTAAAAGCCTTCCTTTTATGAACCTAACATCATGGATGTGTTCCAGTCTGGATTTAAAACTTCATAGCACAGAGTCAGTTCTGATGAGTTTTTAATTACATCCTCCTGGCATTTGACTCGGGTGATCATGTGATCCTTGTTTTACTGGACTTAACTACTAAAGCCCCCAGTATACTCCCGCGTACGTCCATACGTGGTGGTATGTGCGTATGTACACGGAGGTGCGCGCATACCTCCGCAGGGCATGTCCACGCAAAGCTCAATTTTTACGTACGCGTACGCGGTGTTGCACAATGAACTGCCCGGCGACGGACTGTTTTGTATGCCACACCAATGTATTAAATCCCACTTCTTCATCCCTGATCTGTCCTTTTCTTTCTTTTTTTTTTTTTGCCAAGAGGCAGGCGATCTCTTCCTCCTCCATTGATGCCATGACTGAAATAGTGAGAAATGAAGGAATTTGTCACGAGCTAATTAAAATCAGTCCCAGCGTGGCTGTGGGAGTGTCTGGAGATTTCCTTTTGGGCAGATCAAATGTTGATGTCCTGCAGGACCAGCGCTCCCTGTTTTTTTTTTTAGAATTTTTTATTAACAACATGTAAATACAGAACACCGCTGCGGCTGGGGCTGCCAGCTCTGTTTATTTTTTTCGACCTGTCCATCAGTCCAGTAAGCGTGTCAGCAAATTACCAATTGGCAACCTCAGTTTGTCCCAAAGGTAAACGCCCCTTGTCTGCGAAGCTGCTCTACAGCCGCTCAGGGTGTACGCTCCAGTATGAAGTCTCAACCCTCCGCGTACGTATGCACGTTCCTCCGTGCAGACGGACGTACACAGGAGTATACTGGAGGCTTTACTGCTTTTGACACAGTGGACCACATAATTTTATTGTCATGCCTACAGCACCAAGAAGGCATTGGTGGGACTGCTCTGGAGTGGTTGGGGTTCCTATCTGGCAGACAGAACGATTTCTGTAAAAATTGCAGGGTGTGAATCCTTTTCTGCTCCTCTGTCATGTGGGATTCCTCAGGGCTTAATTTGAGGGCCTTTGCTTTTTTTCTTTGTATGTACTTCCTCTAGGATGGATTTTTAGAAAACACTGAATCTTCTTTCACTGCTACGCTGATTGCCAAATCTATGTGCCTTTAAGGCTAGTTGATGCTTGGTCCATTAAACCTCTTTTATTGTGTCTCAAAGATCTTAAAGCTTGGATGGCCCTAAACTTCTTGCACTTTAATGAAAAAAAAGACAGAGGTACTTGTTTGTGGACCTAGTGGAGCATGTCTGAGCCCTCCAGTTGACATAAACCCCCCTGGCAATGTACGTAAAGTCCACAGTTACAAACCTTGGTTTTAAGATGGACAGTGATTTTAAACTCGACAGTCAAATAAGGGCCACAGTAAAGTCTGGTTTTTATCATCTGAGAAAATTGTCAAAGGTAAAATCTATTCTTTCAAGGCAACATCTTGAAACAGTAATCCATGCTTTCATTTCATCATGGCTGGATTACTGTAATTCCCTCTATCTCGGGAGTCAGCCAGTCCTCACTTACACGTCTACAGCTGGTGCAAAATGCTGCTGCATGTCTTTTAACAGGAACACGTAAAAGAGAACACATTACTCCTGTCCTGGCTTCTCTCCACTGGCTGTCCGTGTATTTTAGAGTTAATTTTTAAATTTGTTTGTTTGTTTTTAAGGTTTTAAACAGCCTTGCCCCACCTTATTTAACAGAGCTTCTCCACTCCTACATGGTCACTCAGGTCCTCTGACCAGCTGCTTCTGGTCATTCCCAAGAGTAAGCAGAAGCTTAGCGGAGACAGGGCCTTCTCTGTTAGTGCTCCTAAGTTATGGAACACTCTGCCTTTGCACATTCGACAGGCCCCTTCACTGTCCATTTTTAAAACCCATTTGAAAACTTATCTCTACTCACTGGCCTTCAACTCAACTTAGACTCGATTTTACTTAATTTTTAATGGTATTGTTTTTTTCTGTTTAACTGGTCGTTTTATTGTTTTAAATTGAGTTTTTAATTCACTGTTGTGTACGTAGCTTTGTAACTTTATTTTTATGCTTTCTTTTATCTTTTTTATTACTCATGTTCAGCACTTTGTTATAGCTGTGGCTGGTGTTAAAGTGCTTTATAAATAAAGTTGATGATGATGATGATGAAATTAGGCTTCTTCAAAGAGCTATCTGTAACAAGTAGGATAATAATTGTTTGAAACCTTTCCACAGGATCCCAATTCAAAACGGAATATCTCTTTATATTGAGAGGCCTTCAGCAAGTGCTACTTTGGCTATTTTTCTGCTTAAATATAAGATAAATAAAATAACTTTTTTGTGTCTTTTATCCTGTAGGTTTACAGTCTCCTGGGTCTTTAGAGGACGACCTTATTTATACAGAGGATGAATATGAAGATGATGATGATGATGACGACGATGAAGATTATCCTCATGTCACTAAAAACCTTTTGGAACCACATCTACAAATAAAACAACTCACTGATGAGGTGACATACATTCTTTTATGTACTAAGGTGAAACAGAAAAGTCCACCTTGTGATTAATCCTTAAACCGTAACTGGAGAGAACTTCAGATTGACTCATGTACTATATTGGAATATAAATTTTAATAGAGAATTAAAATTGAATAAATTATACATTTAAGTGAAGTTCAAGGTAACTTTATGGTCATTTGTGTCACGGTGCATGAGATGGAATGAAATTGTGTAATAAAGGTCCCAGTTACATCCAAAAATAACAATAATATAAAGTATAAAAAAAAGAAGAAAGTATACAAAGATATACACTAAACAATAATATCTGTGATTTGTGGGGGGGTGGATGGAGAAATGTCCTGAGCTGCGCAGAGCCCGACAGTTTTGGGAAGGGGGGCGGTGGACAGGGACACAGCCGCGCACTGTTTCAGAGACATCTCAGCCGCGCGCTGTCTGTACTAGGGCTGGGTACCTTTCTAAAAAATTTGGTACCGGTACCTTCACTTTGGTGTCCATTCCTGAACTGTACTTTTTTTGGTACCAATTGTATAATGTCGTGGTTGGCTACCACGTCGTGTTCAACACAGCTGAGACGTCGCCCTCGGTATAAAAGATTTATTTGACATAACATGGGTTACAGATATTCAGAGACAAACAATTACATTAATAAGATATATGCATATAAATGGAGCATTAAAGCACGAACCGTCTCGGTGTGCGCCTCCCGGAAATGCTCGGTGGGCGTGTGTCATTTCCGGCCTTTTATCACAGTTTGAGAAGGCTTGCTTTCTGATTGGTTTAGCTTCTGTTGCTAGGGTTACGACTCTAACCCGCCCCCTCAAGGACGTTAATATCTACATTTCAGATAAGAAGTTCTGCCTCACTGAAATCGTTCGTTTTAGCTGTTGGTTTAACGTGATTATACCTTAGTGATACCAAATGATTTGAGTTAAAGTTGTTTATTTCTAGGAATAATTAATAACTATTAATTGTTATCTAATTCATGTTTGCGTGTTCTTATTTGATCCTATTTACACTTTTGCTGTTGTAGCTCTTGTATTCAACAATGATTAAATGTTAATGGTTATTATTAAGAGAGATCCTGAGGGATCTTATTTAGTCAAACTATATTGTCTAAATTAAA